GGAAGTATTTATTAAGATTTCAATTGTTACTCGTCTAAGTTACTATTGAATTATCACCCTCGTCGTCGTCATCGTTGTTGTTGTTGTCGTGACCATTATCATCATTGTCATCATTAATTATCCGTCATAAATCATTACTAATTGTCTATCTACACTTTTTATTTTGTTTGAAATGCTCTGGTTATAAACGATATGTCTAACTTTTTTTTATTTCTTTCCAGGTACGTTGAAGAAAGTGTTGGATGGAAGGAAATGAGAGATTTTGCAGAACGAGCTGTGATGAAGAAGGTAGGAAAGCGCGGAGATAAAGAAGGAGAAAGAGATGAAAGAACAGGGAAGAAGAGAGAATTTGATCATTAGAAAGGACTTGAATTGAATCCATGAACGTATAGGAAGATAGGAGGATAAAGAAGAGTGAGAGAGGAATGGAAGATTAAAGATTAATGATTGAAGGCCTCCATCTCCTCCTCCACCTCCTCGCCTCCCTCTCCCTCTCACTCTCCTCCCTCCCCTCCTCCTCGCCTCTATCCTCCCGCCCTCCTCCCACTCTCCTCCTCTACCCCTCACCCCTCTCTCCCTCGCCTCTCTCTCACTCTACCCTCCGCCTCTTCTCCATCCCTCTCCTCTCGCCTCCTCCCTACCCTCCCTCCTCCCTCCCCTTCCCCTCTCCTATCCCTTTCCCTATCCCTCTCTCTACCCACCCATCTCTACCTTCTGCTCCTCCCACTTTCCTCTCCTCCCCCTCCCTCTCCTTTGCGTGGATTTGATCCCCGTTCGCCATTATTAGACCGTCAGCGGCTGCCTAAATCAGGACGCGAGGTGGTCGTGCCTTGTGATTTGTTGTGATCAGGGTCCTCGAACGCCCCCCTCTCCCCTTGCTTTGTTTTAGTCTGTTTGTTTGTTTGTTTGTTTATTTGTTTGTGTTGGGCTGTTGATGGGGTTGATTACATGAAGGGGGTGTAAAAGGTTGGCGACGCGCTCGTTGATGATTGGTTGATTGGCGAGGCCGTGGTGGGAGGATCAGCGTCGGGTGGAGATCAGCAGCAGGAAGGAGATTTGCGAAGGGCGCTGCGATGCCTGGCCGTGCTGGCGAGGCTTGGGTGGACGAGGTTGCTGTTGTTGATTTTTTTTTGCATATATCTTCTTTTTGTTTTGTTTTTTGTACTTTCTCTTTGGTTTTATTTGTTGTTTTGTTGTATGTTTTACTTCTCTTTTGTGTTATTTTTGTTTTGTTGTATGTTTTCCTTCTCTTTGGTTTTATTTGTTGTTTTGTGTATTGTTACTTCTCTTTTGTGTTTATTTGTTGTATGTTTTACTTCTCTTGTTTTAATTTGTTGTTTTGTTGTATGTTTTACTTCTCTTTTGTGTTATTTGTTGTATGTTTTACTTCTCTCGTTTTATTTGTTGTTGTTTTGTTGTATGTACTTCTCTTTTGTTTATTGTCTTTTGTATGTTTTATTTCTTTTTTATTTGTTTGTTTTGTTTTGTTGTATTTTTTTTTTTTATCATCATGTGTTTAGTGGTATTGTCCTTGTTGGCACGGGTGATAAGGATGATTTCGGAAGCCCAACTCGATTGCCTTTGTGGGGGTTACTGAGGTCGCCCATTCTGTTTCGGAATTGGTGCGGGGAAAGAAGGGTGAACGAGGGGGAGGCGAGGCGAGGGCCAGGGAGGCGGCAGGGGTAGAGGAAGGGAAAGAAAGGTACAGGGGTAGGTGGGGGAAGGGGAAGACGAGGAGGGAAGGGTGATAAGGGGAAGAGGGTGACGAGGCGGGTACGTGGCGGAGAGGTAAGGGGAAGAAAGGGGGTGGGGAGGCAGAGGGGATGAAATTGGAGTGGAACGTTTGGCGCAAAAGAAAGAGGGTGAGAAGGGGGACGGGCGTTGGAGACCTATGAGAAGGGAGGAAGAGTCAAGGAGAGGGGGGGGGAGGTGGAGGGACTTTGGATTGGAGAGAATCAGGAAAGAGAGAGAGTGAGGAGAGTGAGAGAAGTGAGAGAAGTGAGAGAGGTAGAGAGTGAGAGATTGAGAGAGGTGAGAGAGTGAGAGAGTGAGAGAGTGAGAGAGTGAGAAGAGTGAGAGAGTGGAGAGAGTGAGATGTAGATGGGTGAGAGAGGGAGGTGAGAGAGTGAGAGAGTGAGAGAGGGAGAGTGAGAGTGTGAGAGAGTGAGAGTGTGAGAGTGAGAGGAGAATTGTGAGAGGTGAGAGTGAGAGTGAGAGGGAGTGAAGTGGAGAGAGAGAGGAGAGAAGAGAGAGAGAGAACGAGAAGAGAGGAGAGAGAAGAGAGTGAGTGAAGTGAGAGTGAGAGTGAGAGTGAGAGTGAGAGTTGAGAGTGAGAGAGAGAGATTGGTGTTAAGATAAAAAGAGGTAAAACGAGAGAAGAGAATGAAGGAGATACATGACACAGACAGACCAGACTGAACAGAGAGGAGGAGGGAGACGATCGAGAGAGGATCGAGAGAGAGAGGAGAGAGAGGTGACGAGAGACGAGAGGATGAGATCGAGAGAGTGAGATGAGAAGAGGAGAGGAGATTTGAGAGATTGGTCGAGGAATTAAAGGCAGGAGGCATTGGGAGGGAGGAGATCTGGGCATTATTTTTGCGGGAATACGACAGCCATGCCACTCCTTGACCCGTTACCCGGTCAGGCTGGATGGCGATCAGCCCCAGCGCCCGCGTTTTCCAATACCGTGTCCGTCATTTGGCCGCGCATGCACCACACCCCGCGGGCTTTCGTTTGATTGATTTTCTTTTGGGCGGGGTTGATCGGGGGGCACTTGTCTTGTTGGGGGGGAGCGGGTCTAACCACTTCTCTCGTGCTCGCTTCTCGGTAGTGCTTATTGGTACTTGGGGACTGTGATGATGATGATGATGAGGATGATTGTTATTGTTGTTGTTTGTGTTGTAATAACTGATGATTGTTGTTATTATTCTTTTACTAACTCACTATTGTTTCTTGTTGTTATTTTTTTTATCATTACGGTTATTTTTTATTCCCCCAATTATCCATTATCGTTGTCGTTGTCGTTTTTTGCTTTTGTTGTTGTTTTATTGTCATTGTTATTACTTATTAGTAGTAATTTGTAAAGTATTATATATTTAGCAGTAGTTGTAGTAGGGTTAGAAAAATAGGGATATTATTGTAAGGAGCGAAGTTAGGAGTTAATTCGGATCGAAAGAACGGACAAAAGAAGGAAGGAAAGATAGAAGGAGGCAGGACAGATGAAGACGAGGGCGGAGTCGTGCAGAATCCACCCTTGAATCGTGGAAAACAAGGCCTCGTACCCATTGGCCCGGGGAGGGGGACGGGAGGGGAGGGAGGCGGAGCTGAGGGAGGTCGACAGGGAGGGAGGGAGGGAGGGATGGGAGGGACGGGAGGAGGAAGTAAGAAGGAAGAAGGAAGGAAGGAAGGAAGGAAGGAAGGAGGAAGGAAGGAAGGTAAGAAGGAAGATGGAAGACAGAAGGATGGAAGGAGCAGGTGAAAGGATGGAAAGTTAGGAAGGATGGAAGGAGGATGGATAATAGGAAGGAAGGATGGAGGAACGGAAGGATGGAAGTTTTACAGGAACGGATGAAGGAGGACAGGAAAGAAAGAAGGAAAGAAGAAGAAGAAAGTAAGAAAAGAAAGAAGGAAGAAAGACTATCAGGAAAGGAAAGAAATAAAGAAAGAAAAGGAGAGGAGGAAGGGAAGTGGAAGGAGGGAGGCATGAGAAGGAGGGAGGCGAGAAGGAGGGAGGCAGGAAGAAGGAAGGGAGGAGGGAGGGAAGGAAGAAGGGATGAAGGACAGAAGGACGAAAGGAGAAATAGAGGAAGAGGTAAAGAGGAGTAACAGAGACAAAGAAGGAAGGAAAGAAAGAAAGACAGGACTCAAAAAGGAGGAAAGGGTAAAACGGACCGAACAAGGTGAAGGACTAAGGCGATAAACAGCATAGCAACATCGAAGAAGAAGAACGGAAGAAGAAAGAAGAAGCGGAGACAAGAAAGGGAGGAAGAAAGAGGATGAGAAAGGGTAGTGGCGAGTTTTAAAGGCCACGCGATTTTGACGAGAGCCCGGAGGTTCGACCTCGGATTTTTGTTTTCATCCCTGGACGGGAAGGACCGGCGAAGGGGAAGGAAGGATTGTGTTCAGGAAAGGGAGGGAAGGGAAGGGAAGGTTAAGGAAGGGAAGGAGGGAATATATATGAAGGTGTAAAGAAAAGGAAAAGGGAAAGGAAAAGGAGAAAGGAAAGGAAAGGAAAGGAAAGGAAAGGAAAGGAAAGGCAAGGACAAAGGGAAAGGAAAAGGAAAAGAAGGAAAGGAAAGGAAAGGAAAGGAAAGGAAAGGAAACGGAAAGGAAAAGAAAGGAAAGAAAGGAAAGGAAAGGAAAGGAAAGAAAAGGAAAGGGAAGGAAAGGAAAGGAAAGAAAGGAAAAGAGAAGGAAAGGAAGGAAGGAAGGAAGGAAAAGGAAGGGAGGAAGGAGGAGGAGAAGGGAGGAAGGAAGGAAGGAAGGAAGGAAGGAAGGAAGGAAGGGAAGGAATAGAGAGAAGGAAAAGAGGGAAGGGGAAGGAATAGGAAAGGAAAGAAGGGAAGGGGAGGAAGAAGAGGAAGGAAGAAGGAAGGGAGGAAGGAGGGAGGGAGGGAGGGAGGGAGGGACGGAGGGAGGAGGAAGGAAGGATGGGGAGGGAAGGAAGGAGGGGATGGAGGAAGGAGGAAGGAAGGAGGGCAGAGGAATATGTAATGAGATTGAGAATATGGAGAAGGAGAGAAGGAAGAGAGACCGGAACACGCACGCAAGCTAGAGGAATATCGAGAGAAGGCGAAAGAGAACAAAGGAGAGAGAGAAGGAAAAATGAGAAGGTGAACGAAAGCCACGGCTTGTAAATCTGTCAGGACGGAGACAAGAGAGAGAGGGAGAAAAAAAAGGGTCCTGGTGATTTTCTTCGATGACGGCAGCGATCCTAATGAAGATGGTTGGGAGGGGGGGGGGGGTGATGACAGTGACGACGAGGGTGGTCGCGTGATGGATTAGAAAACTGGGGTGTGGATGACTGCGGAGTGGGATGACTGCGGGGTGTGATGACTGCGGAGTGGGATGACTGCGGATGTGGGATGTGGGATGACTGCGGAGTGGGATGACTTGCGGGGTGGGATGACTGCGGCGGAGTGGATGACTGCGGGTGGGTATGAACTTGCGGACGGAGTGTGATGACTGCGGGTGGGACTGTGACTGCGGACCGGGATTGGTGAGCTGCGGAGTGGGATGAGCTGCGGCTGAGTGTGATGACTGCGGGGTGGGATGACTGCGGACGGAGTGGGAAGATTGCGGGATAGGTACTGCGGAGGTGGGACTGGGAGCTGGGATGACTGCGGGGTGGGATGACTGCGGGGTGTGATGACTGCGGACGGAGATGACTGACTCGGGTGATTGGGAGATGACTGCGGAGTGGGATGACTATTGCGGGGTGTGATGACTGCGGGGTGTAATGACTGCGGAGTGGGATGACTAGGGAGATGGAGGGTAATGAATGTTGACGAGCAGTTAGTGCGCGGAAGGATATGTCGCCGAAATGGGCTGCGGGAAGGCCAGCAGCTTCGTCCGGGTAATGGGGCGCGCGGATAGAACAGCGGTGGAGGGGAAGCGGCGGCGAGGGAAGGAGGAGGGGAGGAAGCGAGAGGGCGAGGCGGAAACGCGTCGAGACGTGTTCTGCATCGGCTGGAGATCATGATGCACGCGGGGGATATAAAAAAGGAAGAAGAGAGAGGTGGGGATGAGGTCGGTGGAATGGAGGAAGAGGAGGTAAGAGAGGAACCGAAGGAAGCCGAGAAATAGCATGAGAGAGAGGAAGAGAACAGGAAATAAGGCTTAATTATTACATTATTATTAATAGTGATGATGATTTGATAATCACGATGGTAATAACGATCCCAGGAATCGGGATAGAAACGACCGTAAAAAAATACATTTATAGTTACGATAATTATAAGGAAGAGGGAAATAAAGAATAAATTGTTCAATTGTTCTACTCGCTCTCATGGCGAGTGTGACGTCACGGCGGGACTCATGACGTCAGCTGTGACGAAAGCACATTAATAAATAAGTCTTACTCTTGGTAATACTTTTTGTTATGTGTTTTTGGTTATTATAAAGGTGATGGTGATGGTGAGATGATGTATTTGATGATGATTCATTGAATGAGGATGATGAGTGATGATGTGATGATGATGATTGATGATGATGATTGATGATTGATGGTGGTGGTGTGGTGGTGGTGGGTTATGTAATGAAGAATTATAAGCCGTTTGGTGATGGTGATTGATGATAAGGAGGAGGAGGATTAGGATGACTTGTCCAATCATCTGTTGAGTAAAGATATCGAACTTTTCGCCCAATGTAACTCTCTCTCTCCCATTTTCTGTTCTCTCTCTTTCTGTTCCACTCCTCTCCTCTCTGCTCCTCCTCCCTTCTCCCTCTCTCTCTCATCTTCTCTCTCCTCTTCCCTGCTTCTTCTCTCTCTCTCTCTCTCTTCTCTCTCTTCTCTGTCTGTCTGTCTTGTCTGTCTTCCTGTCTGTCTGCTCTCTCTCCTCTCTACTCTCTTCCTCTCTCTCTCTCTCTCTGTCTTCTTCTCCCTTCCTCGTCCTTCTCTCCTCTCCGTCTCGCTTCTCTCGCCTCTCCCTTCCTCTCCCTCTCTCTCTTCTCTCTCTTCCTCTCCTCTCTCCTCTCTCTCCCTCTCTCTTTCTTTCCTCCCTTTTGCGGCTCTTTCCCTCTCTCTCTCGTCTCTCCTCTTCTCTTCCTGTCTCTCCTCTCCTCTATCTCTTCACACATCTCACTCTCCCTTACCTTCCACCTCTCGACTTTCCCTCTCATCTATCTCTTCTCTAAGTCTCAACTCTATCTCGTCATCTCTTCTCTCTCTCTCTTCTCTCTCTCCCTTCATTTTATCCTCTCTGTCTCTCTTCCCTCTTACCTCTCTTTCTTCGACTCTGACTCCCTCTCTGCACCTCCTCTCCTCCTAATCGATCTCGAGTTCTTCGTCTTCTCTTGCGTGCTGGTCATCTTCTCATCGTCAAATGTCACAAAACTGATACAAGTCAGCGGAGACGAAAAACGATGAGGAAGAGAAAGAAAGGAGGAGGTGCGAGGAGGGAGGGAAATAGAGAGGTCACGAGGGGATAGACGGGAGAGCGGATAGTCGGGATGGAGGGAGGGTGGGAGGGAATGAGGAGGAAGGAGCAGATACAGGACACTGCGCAGGAAGTTGAATATGAGGGCATGTCAGGAGGGGAAGAAGAGGTCACGGGCGAGGGAGGGAGAACGGAAGGAGAGAGGGGGTGAGGCAAGATGCGGAGATCGGAATAAAGGAAGTACTGAAGTCGGGGTACGGGGAGAGATTCTAGATGAGAGATTAAAAGGGAAATAGGGCACTCGTAGTTATCGTTGACTACGGGTCAGGATACGATGCTTCAAGATCAGATGAATCAGATAGATCTGAGTCGTGAAACAGACATTGGAGACAATAAGGTGGCAGGGAGAAGAGATAAGTATACGTCTATGAGCAATCTATCTCCTTCCTTCCTCTCTCCTCTCTCCCTCCTCCTCCCTACCCTCCTCTCCCTCGCCTCCTCTCCTCTAGCCAGATTATCAGTTAACCGCGTCTAAATCGGAGAGAGGGATATGCACTGATCAAAAACATGAAATCTCTCTCTCTTCTCTCTCTCTCTCCTCTCCTCTCATCTCTCTCTCTCTCTCTCTCTTCTCTCTCTCCTCTCTCTCTCTCTCTCTCTCTCTCTCCTCCCCTCTCTTCTCTCCTCTCCCTCTCTCTTCTCTCTCCGCTCCCCTCTCCTCTCCTCCCTCTCTCTCCTCTCCCCTCCCTCACATCCCTTTCATCCCCTCTCCCTCTCCCTCTCACTCCCTTCTCTCCCCCCTCTCACTCTCCCCCCTTCTCCCCCTCTCCCCCTGCTTCCCTTCCTTCCTTCCTTTCCATCCCTCCATCCCTCCCCTCCCCCTTTCATCTGACACGTGATGGGCGAGCGGCAACCTGTTATGCCATACCTGTTGCGACGGTTGCTGCAGAGTGTAGCCTCGCCTGGCGCTGGTCGTCAGCTTTGGTGGCGTGGTGTTTTGCGGACATCGACGAGTGGGGTGGGGGTGGGGGTGGGGGTGGGGGGGCGGGTGTCGTGTTGCGCTGAGTCAGGATAAGGGCGTGATGGCGATGTCGGGACGCGGTGGTGAGGGGGGGAGGGGTAGCTGATGCTGTTTGGTTTGCTTTTTCTTATTTATTTTTTTTCTTACGTTTTTGTGTTGAGTTTTACTTTTTATGTTCTTTCCTTTTTGTTTTTGGGGGGATGGGGGATTGGGGATTGTTTGTGTTTTTTTTTTTTTTGTGGGTTGTTTTGTTGGTTGGATAGTTGTTGTGCGTTGTGTTTTTGTTGGTCTGAATTTCTTTTTGTTTTGGTTATTTCCGTAGTTGGGTTTCGTGGATTGAATTGTCTATGCGAATGAGAGAGAGACACCACCACTCCACTCACATAGTATAGAATAGTACAGACGACAGACGATCAGACAGGCACAGGCAAAATCAGACAGACAGACAGACCAGGCAGTGACAGACTAGCAGCAGACAGACATCGACGAGCAACAACAGACATGATAGATACATGACACTAGACATGCAGCACAGACAGACAGAAGGGTATGAATGAGTGTGAGTGTGAGTGAGTGCGTGTGAATGCAAGTGTATTTAGGACGGTGAGTCGCGTGCGCATTCATGTGGGGCACAGTAGGTCAATATGAGTCATAATGTTCTTTTGGTGGTATGAGATCACGCTAATTCCTCTCTCTCTCTCTCTCTTCTTCCTCTTCTCCTCCTCTCTCTCTTCTCTTCCTCCCTCATCGTCCTCTTCCCTTCTCTCTCTCTGTCTCTCTCTCTCTCTCTCCTCTCTTTTCTCTTTACAATGATCTCTCGTCTATTTCTTCGTTTCTCTTAGGTCTATCGACCTCTTCGTTCGTAATCAAGCCTCTCTTTCTCTTCTCTCTTCCGCCTCATCATATGCTCTATAACGCTGCTGACATTACGTCTCCTCCCACTCCTCATCTCTCCTCTCTAGCTCTCTCTCATCTCATTCTCTCTCACTCTCATGCTCATGCCCGCGCTCGTCCAACATTCTTACAAATGCTAACATGCCGGCCGAAACAATGAAATAGATCAATGCTCATGAAGGGAATACTAGAACATCTTCCGATCAGTCACCTCGTCTCTTCGCTTCTTCTCTTGTCCCATCGCCTCAGATAGTCTGTTTATCGTCATTGATATAACGTACTTTAATTACCTAACTTGGTCTCTCTATGAAATTAATCTCTCTCAAAGTGTCGTCCTCATACTTATCACTTGTCTCCTTCCTTCTGGTCAATCTTCTCTCTCTCTCTTCTCTTCAGGAGGGAGGGAGGTGAGGTGAGGGTATGACGGAGAAGGTGAGGGAGGGAGGGATAGGAAGGAGAGAAGGAAGGAGGTGAGGAAGCGCAACAAGAACGAGTAAGGAGAAGGAGAAGTGAGAGGCGGAGGAGGGAGGAGGAGCTGCGGTGGCGGAGGCGGCGCCGGATTCGGCTCACATCTCGCGGTTCGCGCGGATGCGGATTAAGATCAAGCTGCGAGATGACGATGGGGATGAAAACGTGGGGCTCGCGGCTGCGTCGCTGCCAATCGAGCATTGATGTGGCTGGGGGGGGGTTGTGTTTAACGGCGCGGAAAGGGGATGTGTGGGAGGGGGGGAGGGGAAGGGGAAGAAGGAGGGAGAAGGAGGTGGGTGAAGTGAATGGCGCGCAAAGTGTAAGAAATTAATAGGAAGATGATGAGAGAGTAGGGGGGTCGGATGGAGGAAATTGTCACTAACTGTGTTCTCTTAATCACTATAGAATTGATAATTCGGGGCGATTTTTTAAGATTGGGTTACGATCCTTCCCTCCCTCCAGCCCTAACTCCCACCTCCCTCAACGACGGTCGAAGAAGAGCGATGAATTGCAAATACGAAAAAAAAAAAAAAAAAAGAAAAAAGAAAACTAGCAAAGTAAGTAAAAAATATGCAAATTAAAACAGGACATAGAAACTATGTCGCACCGTGCTAACACCGTGAACGAAATGCTAGCTGCTTGGTGTTGCCATGGAGAGCTACCGCATAACAATGGTGAAGACGGCGAACTCCCGCTTCTGCAGGTGGTAAAGGATTAACGGGAGGCCCCGGGGAAGGGAAGGGGAGGGGAAGCGGGAAGAAGGGGAAGGAGAGGGAAGGGGAAAAGGAGAAGTGAAAATAGGTGAAGAAGGGTTGAAGGGGAAGGGTATGAAAGGGTCAAGAGGGGAAGGGAAGGAAAGGTGAAGGGAAAGGGGAGGGGGGGAGGGGGGAAGGATGGTAATGGAGGGAGGAGATAGGAGAAGTGGTACTGGGAGAGAAGGAGAAGGGAGGGGGAGGAGTAATGGAGAAGGAGAAGGGAGGGGATGGAGAAGAAGAGAGGAGAAGGGATACGGGGGACGGAGAAGGAGGTGGGAGGAGAAGAAAGAAGAGAGGGGAGGGGGGGAGAAGAGGAGATAGGAGGGGGAGGAGTAAGAAGGAGAAGGTGAGGGGGAGGAGAAGAAGAGAAGGGAGGGAGGAGCAAGAAGGAGAAAGGAGGTGGAGGAGAAGAAGGAGAAGGGAGGGGGAGAGAAGAAGGAGAAGGGGGAGGGGGGAGGAGGAGAATGAAGGGAGTGTGGGGAGGAGTAAATGGGGAAACGGAGAAAAAGGGAGGGGGGAAGGAGAAGAAGGAGAGGGACGGGAAGGGAAGAAGGAGAAGGAGGGGAGGAGAGAGGAGGATGAATGAGGAGCGGGGAGAGGAGAAGAAGGAAAAGGAGGGGGAGGAAAGAAAGGAGAAAGCGGAGGCGGGAGGAGAAGAAGGAGAAGGGAGGGGGACGAGAAAAGGGAGAAGCGGAGGGGGATGGGAGAAGAAGGAGAAGGAGAGGTAGGGAAGAAAAATAAAGGACAAAGGTAGGGTGGTAGGAGAATATAGGTTTAGAAGGAGGGGAAAGAAGGAGAAGGGAGGGGAGGAGAAGAAGGAGAAGGGAGGGGGAGGAGAAGAAGGAGAAGGGAGGGGTTCACGGAGCAGAAGGCACACAGCGAGAAGCACAGGGAGAAGAGAAAGGAGAATGGAAGAGAGGATAGGAACAAGAGAGGAGAGAGGGGAGGCGAGGGCGAATGGAGAAGAGAGGAGAAGGGAGGGGAGGAGAAGAAGGATGAAAGGGAGGGGGGGAGAAGCAAGGAGTAATGGGCACACACAACGTATCAGATGCGGGAGGAGAAGAAGGAGATAGGGAGCAGCAGCAGGGGGAAAGAGAGGACGAAGAGAAGGAGAAGGGAGGGGGATGGAGATAGGAGAAGGAGAAGGGGGGGAGGAGAGGAGAAGGAGAAGGAGAAGGAAAGGAGAGGAGAAGGAGAAGGTAGAAGGGCTAGGGGGAATACACCCACCGCATGGGCGGGGGGCGCACACTAGGCACAGGAGGAGAGGGGAGAAGGAAGGGTAGGGAGAGGAAAATGGGAAGGGAAGGAGAATGGATGAGGGGAGAAGGGGAAGGGGGAGGTGAGGGAGAGGGGGAGGGAGTCACACAGCATTGCACAATTCATCACAGCACGATTCGCTTATTCTATTTAGTCTGTCTGCCTGCCTATAGTTTCTGTCCTCTGGATAGCTTTTCTTAATTGTTGTTATCATTCTTTCTCCTCTCTCATCATCTCCACTCAAAGGGGAAGGGTTCTCTCTTCTCCTTCTCTCTCTCTCATGGCTTCCTCTCCTCTCTCTCTCCTCTCTCTCCTCTCTCTCTCGTCTCGTCCATATCTCATTCTGTCTCTTCTCTCGTATTCATTTCTAATATTTTGGATATAAGTAGTAGAGAGAAAATAAAGGTCTACTAAGATGGGTATATGTAGGCTTATGATAAGGTAATTGGGTATTATAGATATAATAATAATAAATTAGTATAATATATGTAGGGTATTATATGAGATGGTAATGTGTGTGAAGTGGTGTGGGCGTGTGTGTGTGGGTCTGTTGTTTTCTTTTTCCTTTAGTCTTTCGTAACGTCTATTTACTTCAATAAAATCATCGGGATTCTGGGGGGTTCGGAATCTGGAATTACCGCGGTCCATTTGTCCTTTTCTCTGTTTCGACCCAAACTTTCTCTCATCCTACTATTTCATTCTTCTCATATCATTCTCTGGTTCTCTCATCTTTGACGAGCGTCTGTGGTGTATATTGTTCGTACATCCTTTCGATATTTCTGTTCATTCGGTGGCCGTTTTGTAATTCTTTGTTCTCGTTTTAAGGGTCTAGCGTGCTTTATGTTGCTGAACACTCATTTTCTTCTTTTCTCTGTCTTGAAGTCATATGAGTTGGAGGTTGATCCTAAGGGTGCGAGAGGGAGTGGTATTCTCCCTTAGGAGGGTAGGAGATATGAGAAAGGTGTGTGGCGTCGTTCCTTGGGCGAAGCAATACAGGAAGGATCGCGTGTGCTATCGTGTGTCTCTTAGGTCGTTGGGGCAGGGTGTTTCTGTTGCATTTTGTGTCGTTTTGCCGATTGGCGAATGACGAAGGCATCCTTCTTCTCTCTCTGGCCGTGGGCTGAACGTGCAGCATCTTGTGGAGTGGGAGAAAATTCTTGCCCATTGGTTTATCTTCGGTGTTAAAAGCAAATCAATACCATCGCACACGTATCATTAAGCACGCACACGCACACGTTCTTCCAGCACGCACTACACGCTGCGCTACCATCATCCCGGCACCACACCACCAATCTACATCTCAGTCCCCTCACCACACAGCAACACACAATCACACACACACACACTATATCACAACACACACGCTCCCCACTTCTCGCACCTACGCTCTCTGCAACGCCACTGCAATCTCACTCTCTCCCTCTTTTCTCTTTCTTTCCTCCTCTCCTTCTCCATTCTCCCTCTCTCCTCCCCTCTCTCTCTTCCTCTCCTTCTCTCCCTTCTCCTCCCTCTGGCTCCTCTGCTGCCTCCTCTCTTCTCTGCTTCGTCCTCTTTGCTCTCTTCTCTTTCTTCATCTCTCTTCTCTCTTCGTCTGCTCTCTTTCTGTTTCTCC